GGGGGGGCTGCTTCGGCCTGCTGCACGTGGGCGGCGCGTCTTGTCGGCAGCGGCTGGATCCCGGGGCGGCGGCCCTGGAAGGTGGCGGCGAGTGAAGCTCAGGCTTCCCGCGGCGGCATGGCGTGGTGTAGTCCCTATCCAAGGCGGATCTGCATCGGCGATCTCGTGGTTTGGCCACGGATTGGTTCAGATCAGAGACGGTGATGAGCGTGCGGGATTCATCCCGGCGGCTCTCGCGGTTTGGCGAGGTGGGGTGGGAGCCCTCCTCCCAGGCTCCAATGGTGGCACATTCAGAGTGGCTGGTGCGCCAGGGCTCCTACGGTGGCACTGCTGTCGCGGTTGGTCGCCGGATCTAGGAGGCTAGATCTGGGGCTTTGAAGGCGGTCGAGACAGTGCACAGGTTGTCGGGTGGATTTCTTGGTATGGATCCGGGTGAAAACTTGGTCTTCGGTCATTTGCCGGAGCCGGTGATGACGATGCTCTTATCATCGTTTCCTTCATGAAGGCATCATCGAGGTGAAGCTTCCAACCCCACCCAATACCTCTGGGGGAAACCCTAGATCAGTTGATCGGATGACGGCGGCATTCATGTGTCGTTACCCCCTTGGGGGCGGCATCCTTGGAGATGCACTCGGGCTCGAGGGACCCGCGGATGGCAGCTTCGGTGGAGCGGTGTTTCCTTCTACATATTCATGGCGGCGGTTCTCGACGGCATGGAGCAGTGGAGGCTTGGCGTCAGATGTGTGGTGAGGGACACGTGCAGGAGGTCAACGTTGTCTGGCGTCGTGGTGGCGTCGATGGCAGAGAGGCCTGACAAGGTCGATGCGTCAGTACATGCTTTGAGGATGGATCGAGGGAAGATGGAGGTGACGGCCCTTTGCAGTGTGTGCGTGTGGTACTCACTGAGAGTGCGCCGAACTGGAGTGTTACCCAGTCCCGCCTATGTGGCCTGGATGGGGCATCCGGCGTTAGATGTTAGGCTTTCGTGCGATGTCTGTTTGGTATTTGGCCCGGACATTCGGCACGCTTTCATCAAGGGGATAGGAGTAGCGACAGGTGTCGTCTAGATGGTGGCCTCGGGCTTACTGTTGTATTACTTTGTAAGGTCTTTGTGAATAATAAATAATATGGCCGCATGCATCACCCGGATGCAGAGGCCGGGGGTGATTCCTCCTTTTCTAAAAAAAAATGCAAATGGAAAAGTACAATAACTTTTATGGCCCTAGTAATGCTGGTACACTGGAAATTCATACACAAAATATTTACAACTTTATCAACCTTTCCTGGTGGAGAATAGACTATTTCCATGTATTTCTTTCCTCCACTAACCTGAGTAGAAATCCTATATCCAGAAGGATAATTTGAACTTTCTACATATCCATCTGACCATCACACTCTTCTTTTTGCCGACAAAACAAACATGGACGCCTCTTAGGCCAATTAGCTAGCTGCTATATTGGCTAGCTCCTCTTTCTCTTTTAAGTAAGTCACGTCAGAGACTTAATGTCTACTTGGCCACTTGCTCAGAAGTTCAGTTGGACACATAGTTGTAACCTAAATCCAATTCCAACCAAACTGTCCACTTGGCTAATGGCCACCGCGATATTAGCACGCATACTGTTTCTGGTCCTAGCGGCGCACACTGATTTTTTTTAAAGGAAGAAGACCCCCGGCATCTGCATCTAGACGATGCATGCAACAACTTTATTAATTATTTACACAAGACGTTACACAGAAATACGGCAGTAAGTCTGAAGCCACCGTTAGGCAACGTTTATCGCTATTTCTATCCAATTGATGAAGGGATGCTGATAATCTGAGCCTAATACCATAGACCTCGCAACCAAGTCTAACATTTAAGACCTGATACCCCAACCGAGCCACTTGCTGGGTATGGGGCACGCACCGGTCCGACGTGCTCCCAGAGGCCGCCGCCGCCAACTGCCACCACTCCAACTTCAGAGCTATACTAATGCATCATCCTTGCCCGGTCTAGCCGTCGTCGACGCCACCATGGCGCCCAATGCCACCACCTCCATACACGCAACTGCTGAGCACGTCACGGTCGCCGCCGGTACACCTCAGCACCATGCAGCCAAGTACCACCAGCCAACACAGCTTGAAGTCTCTGGAAGATCTGTCGTGCGTAGCACCTGCCGACCAGGCACGACAAAGCGTAGCACCCGTCGGCCAGGCATGACTTGACATCTCCATCAAAGTTCCGTGCAAGAAGAAGCCTCTCCACCTCCTACCTCTGACTTCCAGCGTTGCTCCATAAACGATGCTCCCAAGAGAGGAACAACACCGCAGTGCCGCTAT